CCCCATTCCCTCCAGGGGGGCCCAGACCCCCACCCAGCAGTTCCCCAGCCCTTCTTCCAAGTACCTGGGGAACCAGTCCTTGTCTGTTCTCAGCAGCAGCTGTGCGTTAAAGTCAGAGCAGACGGTGGGAGGTCACAGAGGGGAGGGTGGAGTCCAGACAAGAGCAAGCACCTGGGTATTTTCATTTTGCCTTTTTGGAAGCCAGATGTTGGAAAGCCGAGAAATTTCACCTGAGAAGGTCAGAGTGAACCTGCTCATGAGGTTCATGTGCCAGGGTATCTATGCTGTAGACAGAACACCACAGCCATCAGCATGTTGAGAGGCCGGATTCTGCAGACTCTCTGCATTCAAATCCCAGCCCACCACTTACTGGGCAAGTTATTTGCCTTCTCTGTGCCCGTTTTCCTCATCTGAAAACAAGGAGTGACAGTCCCTGTTGCACAGGACCAGTAGGCAGATTAGAGCAGAAAGTGTCGGTAAATTCCTCAGCAGCGTTGCCCATGGGAGCAAGTTTGAGATGTTACCACCACCACCATCGTCACCAGGATTTCACCTGACGGCACTCTGGTGACCCTCCTCCAAGGCCTCATCAGTTCCCTGTGTTTTCTATGCTGAGATCAGACCTTCCCTGCAGAAATGAGGCTGAGCAGGATGCTCTGAGGTCGTCCCCCTCATTGTCATCACCACCAACAGCCTCGGATGTCACAGAGCCCCGCAGGTGCTAGCCGTCGTCCCTCGGATGGGCAGCACTCTACTGTTTATAGGGCACGGGCCTCCTCATTTCACCTCCCCAGCACCAGCTGACCCTGGATGCTGGCCTTCCTGCCTCCCCTCCTGCTCACAAGCCACCCCTACCCCACAAGGAGGCCATTCGAGGGACCCTTTCAAGGCCTGAGTCAGATCACAGCATCTCTGCAGACAACCCTCCAGGGCTCCCATCAGCACCATCCATGTCACCTGTCATCTTGCAGAACCAGACCTCTGCACCCACTAAATAATAGCTCCCCATCCCCCACAGCCCTTGCCACCACGCTTTTACTTTCTGTGTCTGTGAAGTGACTGCTCTAAGCACCTTGCGTAAATGGAATAATACCGTATTTGTTCTTTTGTGACTGGCCTATTTCATTTGGCATAATGTTTTCAAGATTCATCCATATTGTAGCCTGTATCAGAAATTCCTGCCTTTTTAAGGCTGAATAATATTCTATTGTATGCATATACCACATTTAAAAATATCTATTCATTCATCTTCCACTGGTTTTCCCTTGGTAAAATTATTTTTTTTCATTCAGTTCTCAACTCACATATCTCCTTTCAGAGAGCCATCCCTAATGAGAGCTAGCCCCTAATCCCTCACTATCACATGAATATACTTTAGTTTACACCACTTGGGATGAGCTGAAATCACATTATCTATTGGTTTAGTTGTCCATTTCCTGCCTCTGATGTATAAGAGCTCCCTGTGTATAAGGGCACCTTATCCTTCTTGCACCCAGTGCCTGGCATGGAGTCTGATACACAGAAATTCCTTGATAAGTGTTTAAAGACTGAATTGGTCAAAGATGAGATTGAGGCACCAGCAGATGTAGACTCCCAGGCTCCTGGTGATGCTTGTTTCTTTCTAGAGCTTTCTTCCCTGCTTACCCATGGAAGACCTTCATTTGGCCAGGTTGAGTCTGTACTGTCCTCTGCAACTGTCCAAAGTGGCTGGAGCTGCTCATCTTGGAGGGGATGCATCACAGTGGCCCAGGATTGCCGTAGGAAAGAAGCACGCCTTTATCACTGTAGGCATTCATAGTGATGTCACCCTCATTTAAAACCTGCTTTACAGCCACCAGGGAATTAAGCACCTATTGCTCCCGAAAGAGAAAGATAAGCACTTATCAAGAAAGATAGGGAAGAAAGAGGAAGGAGAGCATTAAGAATAAGCAAGGGATGCCTTCTCCAGTGTTGAGTGAGATCATATGTTTCTTCATGGTCTCAAGATCAGAGAGGTTATCAGAGGAGAAAAACACTCAAAAAGATTATGCTTTTTCCTAAAGATGAGCCCACAGCAGAGTGGCAGGGAATCTGTAGTAATAAAGGCTTTGGGATATAATTTCTTTTTTAATTAAGAAGCAGAAAAAGAAAAAGCAGCAGGCCCTGAGGCCGGAGCTGTGGAACAGCCGTTGGCGTCCAGCCACCTGCCAGCAGCTGACACAGTGGCAGCACCTCGGGCAGTGAGGCCACCACTCCTCCCACCGCCCTTTCTCCTCTTGGTTTATGGATAATCAACCTTTTATGGTTTGTCCGTCAAGAGTGACTGGAAGCAAAGCTGCCAGCTACAGGCTAAATCTCAAAGCGTTTCTACAGAAATCTCTCTTCCTAAACCCAAAACCCAGAGTCCAGGGTGGCCTCTTGACCTGATTCACCTGTGACCCTGATGGGTGACCTGCTGACAACCATGGGCACTGGCCGGTGCTGAGGCTGGGGTTCTGAGACTCCGTGGCACTATCTGGCCTAATCCCCACCTGGGCGCTGTCACACAGCCCTCTCGAGAGCCATGTGCCACAGAGGAGCGGATTCAGTCTGGGCAGGGTGGACACTCCCTGGAGCCCATGGCTGTAAGGTCTCTGAGCCGGAGTCCAGGCTCTGACAAAGAAAGCTGACCCTCGGCTGAGCACCGACTGTGCCCTCGCTGGGGGAACAGGGGCCTTGGCCACAGCCCCAGATACCAGTATTACTCCAGATGCCTCTTTCCAGGAAAAAATCCTTCTCTCCTGAGACAGTGAATCCAGTGCAATGGGACATTGACCAAGACCTTTCTGGGGTACCTAGAAGTTTGGCTGAAGTCCCGAAGCTAGAGGTGTTAGAACCTACTCATTCTAAAGAGAGTTCTGGAAACACCTTTGCAAGCCAACAACCACCACCCCACATGAGAGAAGAGGGATATTTGGAAGGAGATTTCCAGAAGAAATTCACAACAGAAGGTGCTCAGGTTGGCTGTGAGATTGAAAGTGGATATATCCTGAACTAGACTCTTTAGTTCCTGAAAGTTGCACCCATGGATGGAGCTGAGCAAGTCTAAGAGGCTTGAGGATCTACTGGAGATGTCAGCCAGGGAGGGAGGGAGATGGCATGGAATCTCAGCTCCGGCTGCTGTAACAAATGACCGCAGACTGGGTGGCTTAGACAACAAACATTTATTTCTCATGGTGCTAGAGGCTGGGAAGTCCAAGATCAAGGTGCTGGCCAGTTCAGCTCCTGGGAGGACCTGCTTTCTGGCTTGCAGACAGCTACCTTCTTGCTGTGTCCCCACAGGGCAGAGCAGAGAGAGGAAGCAAGCTCTCTTCTTACATGGGGTCTCTTCTTGTAAGGGCACTAATCCCATTGCGAGGGCTCCACTTCATGACCTAATGGCCTCCCAAAGGTCTTGCCTCCAAACACCATCACACTGGGATTAGTGCTTCAGCAGATGAACCTGGGGAGCCCGTAGCACGGCTCCTGGCAAAAGCCACTGAGGTAAGCGTGCACTCAGTTCACTGATTATTGCTGCCTCAGGTGACCACCTGGGAGTCCCAGATGATTGTCTTTGATCTCCTTAAAGTCTTCAGGTTGTGGAAAGCAATATGGAGGCTCCTCAAAAAAACTAGAAAAACTAAAAATAGAAATACCTTTTGACCCAGGAATTCCACTCCTGGGAATTTACCTGAAGAAAACAAGATTCCTGATTCAAAAAGACATATGCACCCCTATGTTTATTGCTGTACTATTTACAATAGCCAAGATATGGAAGCAATTGAAGTGTCCATCAGTAAATGAATGGATAAAGAAGATGTGGTACATATACACAATGAATATTAGTCAGCCATAAGAAGAAAGCAAATCCTACCATTTGCAATAACATGAGTGGAGCTAGAGAATATTATGCTCAGTGAAATAAGCCAGGCGGAGAAAGCCAAGTACCAAATGATTTCACTCGTTTGTGAAGTTTAACAACAAAGCAAAATTGAAGGAACAAAACAGCAGCAGACTCAGAGACTCCAAGAAGGGACTAGCGGTTACCGAAGGGGAGGGGTGGGAGAGGGTGGGTGGATGGGGAGGGAGAAGGGGATTAAGGGGCACTATAATTAGCACACACAATACAGGTAGGTCACAGAGAAGGCAGTATAGCACGGAGAAGACAAGTAATGACTCTATAGCATCTTACTGCACTGATAAATAGTGACTGCAATGGGGGGCTGAGGATTTGATAACATGGGTGAATGTTGAAACCACAATGTTGTTCATGTGAAACCTCGATAAGATTGTATATCAATGATACTTTAATTAAAAAAAAAAGAAATGCAATGTGAACCACATGTCATTTTAAAGTTTTTAGTAGCACATTCACGTTAGAAAAAAAACGAAAAAAAATTGCATTAAAATTTAAATGATATATTTCACCAAACATTTTATCTGAAATATCACTTCAACATATATAAACACAAAAATTAAGATATTTTACATTTTTTCCATATAAATCTTCAAAATCTGGTGTGCACTTTACATTCACAATGCATCTCTACGTTTACCAGAAGCACTTGAACTTCATTTAGATTTCAGGAAATGTGCAGTTGAAAAAGTTGATTCACCTAACTTGCCCCAAACTACTTGCCCCAAATATATTTAAAGTTTTTCAATAACTGCATTGCGTATCTTTAATAACTTGAATTACTTAAAATTAAACAAAATCAAAATTTCAGTTTTTCAGCCACGTGTGGCAAGGGACTGTTGTATTGGGCAGCACACTTCTAGATATTTTTCCAGTCTCTTTTTAAGCTTTTGCACCTTATCAAATCTTCCTAAGCAATTCAACTGGGCTTCCATAAGAGCAGCAGCTCCCCCTGTTCTTGCACTCCTAGTTACCCATTTGCTACATTTATTTAAGTCATGCCATTCCAGTATCAAGGACATCTAGAGTAAACAGAGCTTTGGGAACAAAACCACTGACTTTCGGTAAACAGGCTTTTTTCATGTGCATTTCAGAGAGGAGCTGATGGCCCCAAGCTGGCGGCTTATCTACTTATGTTTGCTGAGGAATGGAGAGCTTCAGATAATCAGGTGAGTGAGTCAGTTAAGGGGGTTTGGATAGGGGAAATCCTACTATCATTTAAAGCCCCAAGTGCAATGAATGGATTATAAAAAGTGCTCAAAACTACTGCCCACTTTTATTATTACTGTTTTTGTTGTTGTTATTATTAAATTACAATTGTTATCTCTGCTAGTGTAAAAGCCCAAATCCACCAATACCCCGGGTCAGATAGCTGCCTAACCCCTGTCCTTTCCCTTATTCCTGTTTCCAGACAGAAGCCCAGCTTTGCTCCGGTGCCCCATGCAGTTCCTTGGTTCATGGAACACGGAGCCCATCCTCAGCTGCAGGGTCATCCTGATGAGTTGACAGTTATTAGCGCACAGCAATCCCCTGGGGTTTGTTTGTGGTCCAGGGTGGGCACACAGCCTAAGATGGCCAATTGTACTGGAGAGAAGAATGTATATCCCACACTTGAAGGGGAGGTTTCTTTCTCAGTGCCCGCAGACCTGGACAAGGAGACACCCGGTCTCAGTTGCTGCTGGCAGCTGTCTTGCAACCAAGAAGGTATCTTGTGACCAACCAACCGGCCTGAAGATGAAACCACACAGAGAGGCTGGTGGTGGTGTATAGCCACCAGATGAACCCACCCTGGGTCCACCTATCAGGTGGACTCTGTTATGGGACATAACAAATTCTCTTGGGATATAAACCAGATTTGTTAGGGGTTTCCATTATATATCAACAAAAGCAAGCTAACTGACACACCATCCCTTCCGAAAAACCTGCTCTGACCCCCAGCAGCCAGCAAGCCCTCCCTTCTCTGACCCTCAGGACCTTTCTCACTGCACTAACCCACTGCTCCCTGCGTGCTGTTTATGTCCCTGTTCACATTCCCCACCAGCTATGGATCCACTGAGAACAAGATCTGATTCATTCCTCTCCTCCTTAGCCCAGGGCCCTGCACTTTGTAAATTTCATCACACAAATAAATGTAGATTTTTATTGTAGTTGCTTTAGAAAGCTGGGTAGATGGGTGAAAGCACTGTTTTTTTGTTTTGTTTTGTTTTTAAGAAACTCGTCATTGAGATGTAAACTGCTCTGTTAGACACAGCAGTACTTTGATGCCAGTAAAGACAGGTTTTAAGATGTTTTATTTTATTGGGACAAACTACACGTCCATAAAAGCCCCATCCATCTTTTTCCCAGTTGATGGTATTTGAAGACTCAGTAATTTCCTTCCCGCAATTGATATCCCTCTTTAATATTCAAACTCCCTTTAACAGATGTAGCACTTTCTGACAAACCCGTCTGGACAGGTGGCAGCCACGCTAAATCTCCTCCATGGGCCTGGAGCACTGTGGGTGTTGATGAAATGTTCATCCATGCATTCTTTAACTGCGGGGCTGTCCATCCTTAGGGGGTAAGAAGCCCAGCCATTAGAATAAAATGCAGCTTGGGTCTTTAAAAGAGAAACTCAAAACTGCTCTGGAAACTTTAGAGATGGGATTTCAGGAGGAAAGTATTGATTCCGGGTTAAATCAAAGGTTAGTGTTCCAGGGCCCTCCTGCAGACAGGCTGATGCCCCAGGGACTAAGGGTGAGGACACCCCCATACTGGGGCACTGTGAGAGGCATGGTACACTCCTGAAGGGTTCAGATACTCCCATCTTTCACCCAAGCTGATCATTGTCACAGTAGAAGTACCATCCATCCTGGTGATTCTTTTCCCCTTGTTCCCCCATATCCAATCCATCAACCAATCCTGTAAGCTTTACCTTTAAACTATGGCCAGAATTAGATGGCTTCTCCACCTCCACCACGAATAGTCCCAACATCCATCCTCTCTCACTGGCATAATGCAGTTGCCTCCTCACTGGTCTCCCTGCACAGACTGTTGCCCACCATACAGTTAATCCTCCCCTGGCAGCCAGAGAAGTCTTTTCAAATACCTAGTCAAAATTTAAAAGGTCTTCTGTGCAAAACTCTCAAAGTCCATCCCATCTCTCAAAACATGACCCAAATTTCTTTGCCACAGCCTAGAAGGCCCTACATAATCTCAACACTGGCTATTCTCCCACTTGCTCCACTCTGGCCTTCCCAGGACATGTTGGATGTGCTTTCACCACAGGGCCTTTGCACATGCTATTCCCTCTATCCGGAACATTCTTCCTCCAGATATGCACATGCAAGATTCCTTTAATTCCTTCAGGACTTTGCCCAAATGGTACACCTCACAGAGGACTTCCAGGCCCCCAACCTAAAGTAGTCCCCCAGAACTCTCTATTCCAATGCTTGCTGGTTATTATAGCCTCTAATACTACCTAGAATAACACACACTTGTACACGTATATGCATATGTGTGTATGTATGTGCACAAGCACACATTTACATGCACTATATGACTGTACTTGTGTGTGTTGGGGTTGTGCCTTAATACTCATTACCCTTCCCACCCTGATCTGACTGTCAGCTCCGTGAGAACTAGGTCTGTCTCATCCACAGCTGGACCCCCAGTGCCTAGAGCAGCGCCTAGTGCTCTGTGAAGAGTTGTTGAGTGAATGGATGCAGCGAGTGAACGAGGTACTCCTCTGAGGCGGAGAACTCAGCAGACCCGGGAAGCTGGTCTGAACCTAGGGGCTGGCCTGCATCCAGGTCCGTCCAGGAGTCTCTAAGCCTGACTCCACCTGTGTTTGTCCTCTGGTGAAAGATCTCTCGCGATGATCTGGCAGCAGGGATCTCTGCAGAGCCCAGGGCTGAGCGTGGCCCCCTGAATGCACTTCCCTAAAACGAATCTGAGTGTGCTGAGTCTGGCAGTTTCAGCGATCCAGTTCCTGAACCCTCTCCACAGGCACCTCTACTGTCTCCCAGGACAGAGTCAGACAACCAAAGACATGGGAAGAGCCCGATGAACCTGAGATGGCATCTCAGTAATTCATTCTACAGGTGAGGAAACTGGGCCAATTAGGGGACGGGAACTGCCCACAGGTGCTCAGGTCTCTAGAGCAGAGCCGCCCAAGACCCACAGCCCAAGACGTACTTCCAGTCCAGGGCACATTCCTAATGGAAGTTTCTGGGAGCTGTGGCCCTGATCCCTTCTCTCACCACTCCTTGAGTCAGTGGGCTGGAATTACTAAGAGCCCAACTTGGCAAATGAGGAAACTGAGGCACAGCCCAGGTAAGTGACTCACCCTTCTTCAAAGGGCTCATTACCAGGCAGCCCATAGCCAGATGGTTGTGGCGTCGGCCTGAGCCAGCAGCCTGGGCGGGGTCCTGGCTCAGCCACTTTCAAGCTAGAAATTGTTAACCCCTGTGTGCCTTGATTTTTCCATCTGTAAAGTGGATAATAAGCATAATTGACCCGTGGCTTTTTACGAGCACAGTGAAACCCAGCCATCACCATGGGGAGGAGCCCGCCTCTGGAACCAGACGGCTGGTCAACCCGCCCCTCGCCAGCTCCCTCTGAGACCCTGGGGGAATCACCAACCGCCGCTCTGCAAGCAGGAACGAGGGCAGCACTTCCACACAGGGTTCTTATAAGGACTGAAAAGCTTAATGATTAAATGGCTTAAAATGTTTGTGTTTTGAGGGTTTTTTTGTAAACAACTAGAACAGGGCCTCCACGTAGCAAGCACACATAAATATTTGCTAAGTAAAAATACATAAAATGCATGTAAAGTGCTCAGATGAGTGTCTGATGCCTGTACTGACTCCGTGAATTTTCGCTGTTCTAATCTATTGACGAGGTAAGACCAGAACCCCACAGCTGTCCTACCCCATCTGCTCACGTCCCATTCACGTCCCACCCCCAGGCCCATGTTCCCAGGCGCCTTTGTCCACCTAGACACCTTCTCTCCTCCGAAAACACCCCTTACCTTCCGTCCTGTCTCCCCACATACTCTCTCACACTCACACACTGGCTCACACAATATACACTCACTCTCATTCTCACACGTTGCACACTCGCACACATGCTCCCACATGTACACGCTCCCACTCACACACTCACTTTACACACACACACATGTTCACATGTGTTCGCATTCACTCTCATTCTCACAGTCACACATGCTCAGATATTACACTCAATGCTCACATTGTGTTCACACACATACACACATATGCTCACATATACACACTCTCATATTATATGCTTTCACATGTACACATTCACCTCTCATTCTCACACACTTGTATGTTGCACACTCATGTGCTCCTACGTGTACACACTCACTCTTGTTCACACGCATGGCCCTGAGGGGCCTGCAGACCTTGGCTCTCACTGTGAGGGTCTGAATCCCAGCTGACTGCAAACTCTACCCCGCGTCCCTGAGGGCTCCCACCTGCCCACCTGCCCAGCTCCGCAGCGGCCTGCACCTGCCAGGACTTGGCCTCAAGGGCACCCTGCTGGGACTTGCTCCTCTGCAGGGAGGACAAAAGGGGCTGTGAGGTCCCCACATATTCCTCCCACCAGCACCTGAATCTCTTCCTGCGCAGCAACACAACCTTCCTGAGGCTCCAGCTCACACCTAGGCCTCTGGTCCTTCCCCAACCCGGGCAATGCCGTCCACCTTGTGACAGGCACTTGGCACCCACAGCCGCCGGTGCAGGCTGCTCTCTGGTCTGTGGTGTTGCTTAGACCTGGGGAATGAGAATGCTTCAGGTTCCACTTGGCAACAAACAGAACAGCTCGGGACAAGTGTGCGGATCTGAGGAGGCAGGTCAGTGCTGAGCTGGGCCATGGCCACACCCCACGATTATCCTTTCCTTGGCTGAGCCCCCTGATTGTACAGACTCACCAGAGGAGGTTCAGAGGACACACAGGAGGGGCACAAGAGGGAGCCGTGGTCCCTTTCAGTCACCAGCAGACCATGGGCTCCAGAGAGGGGCAGGACCCTGTTCTCACAAAGCATCTGGGCTAGCGGGGGACTGGCCCATGAACAGCCACATGCACAGCAGGATGAAATAATCCTGAGGGAAGGAAGCCCTTGGAGCAGGAAGCATTCAGCTCCAACTGGGAGAAGTTTGGGGCTGCAAGGGGAGGAGCCTAAGGGGAGGGACATGTGGGATACTGAAAGGAGGAGGAGGATGCTGTAGGTGGTGGGAACAGCTTGGACAGCAACAGAGACAAGAACATACTTGGTGGGAGGGAGAGGGGGTTCCGGAGGGCAGAGAGGTGGGTGAGAAATGAGAATCGAATCCAGAGAGGTGGCTGGAAACCAGAAGGCAGTGGCCTGAGATGCCCTGTGCAGAGTGTAGACTTCATCCCTCAGGCCAGCATCCGTGAACTCCAGCACCACCTCTCACCGCTGCAGCACAGCCTGTGAAGTACTGAACATTCTTCTGAATCAGATGTCTTAATTGCAGAAATCTATTCTAACAGCAAACCTTACCCACATGACTTAATTGGAAAAATTTATTAGCCACCAAAGCTATGTTAGAAATTGCAGCTAGGTACAGCTGCCCAGGAAGAGCTCAAAGGCCAGCTCTCTCTTGGTTCAACAGGAAGATGATCAAGTGTTAGAAAGGAGGATAAGACAGATTCTCACAAACTGGAACTTTTCTCCCAGAGGGGAAGAAGAATTTGAAAGATCGGACTTGCTAACCATGTGTCTCCGTGAGGGACTGAGTCGCTTACTGACCGAGGGGCATCATTTGTCATTCTCTCCTGTGCCCTGCACACAGCCCTGGAATGGACTTGGCCTCAAGGGCACCCTGCTGGGACTTGCTCCTCTGCAGGGAGGACAAAAGGGGCTGTGAGGTCCCCACATATTCCTCCCACCAGCACCTGAATCTCTTCCTGCGCAGCAACACAACCTTCCTGAGGCTCCAGCTCACACCTAGGCCTCTGGTCCTTCCCCAACCCGGGCAATGCCGTCCACCTTGTGACAGGCACTTGGCACCCACAGCCGCCGGTGCAGGCTGCTCTCTGGTCTGTGGTGTTGCTTAGACCTGGGGAATGAGAATGCTTCAGGTTCCACTTGGCAACAAACAGAACAGCTCGGGACAAGTGTGCGGATCTGAGGAGGCAGGTCAGTGCTGAGCTGGGCCATGGCCACACCCCACGATTATCCTTTCCTTGGCTGAGCCCCCTGATTGTACAGACTCACCAGAGGAGGTTCAGAGGACACACAGGAGGGGCACAAGAGGGAGCCGTGGTCCCTTTCAGTCACCAGCAGACCATGGGCTCCAGAGAGGGGCAGGACCCTGTTCTCACAAAGCATCTGGGCTAGCGGGGGACTGGCCCATGAACAGCCACATGCACAGCAGGATGAAATAATCCTGAGGGAAGGAAGCCCTTGGAGCAGGAAGCATTCAGCTCCAACTGGGAGAAGTTTGGGGCTGCAAGGGGAGGAGCCTAAGGGGAGGGACATGTGGGATACTGAAAGGAGGAGGAGGATGCTGTAGGTGGTGGGAACAGCTTGGACAGCAACAGAGACAAGAACATACTTGGTGGGAGGGAGAGGGGGTTCCGGAGGGCAGAGAGGTGGGTGAGAAATGAGAATCGAATCCAGAGAGGTGGCTGGAAACCAGAAGGCAGTGGCCTGAGATGCCCTGTGCAGAGTGTAGACTTCATCCCTCAGGCCAGCATCCGTGAACTCCAGCACCACCTCTCACCGCTGCAGCACAGCCTGTGAAGTACTGAACATTCTTCTGAATCAGATGTCTTAATTGCAGAAATCTATTCTAACAGCAAACCTTACCCACATGACTTAATTGGAAAAATTTATTAGCCACCAAAGCTATGTTAGAAATTGCAGCTAGGTACAGCTGCCCAGGAAGAGCTCAAAGGCCAGCTCTCTCTTGGTTCAACAGGAAGATTATCAAGTGTTAGAAAGGAGGATAAGACAGATTCTCACAAACTGGAACTTTTCTCCCAGAGGGGAAGAAGAATTTGAAAGATCGGACTTGCTAACCATGTGTCTCCGTGAGGGACTGAGTCGCTTACTGACCGAGGGGCATCATTTGTCATTCTCTCCTGTGCCCTGCACACAGCCCTGGAACCTTCCAGGGAGCCCAGACCCACTTCCAACTGCCCATATCTGCTTCTTGAGTGAAGGCTTTTGTCTGCAACCTCAGCAGACCACTCTGCCCACCTAGGGCAGGCAGAAAGTGCCAGACAACTAACACTTCCTCCTGCAGAACCCAAAGAATGACTCGCAGCTGTATGAGTTGGGGCTCCCTCGCTCCTGAGCTGACTCATCCATGTGTGAGTGGCTCCATCTCCCAGACTTTCTCTGTGGGGCTAACCTCCAGTTGTCCTGTACCAGCAGTTTCACATCCACCCCTTCCTGCTTCCAGCGAGCAGTTCCTGGAATCACCTTCCAAATATGCTACTTGTTCTCAGAAGAGTCTGCACCTGGGCCAACACAATCTAAGGCACCCATCTCAGTGACATTTGTCCCACCCCTGCCCCCTTGATGTCAGACTCCAAATCTGAGCATCTCAGTCCAAAGAGACCCAGAAGACAGCCTGCTTTTATAACTGGATGTGAAATCAACTCAGGAGAAGCCTGTATGGCCATTTACTCGGGGAGGAGCTGAATTTTTTGGTGAAATATTTTCATACGGCATTGATTACTGAGAATGAAACTAAAATGGAGTCAGTCAGATCTGCAACTGGAAAAACTCACTCTGGCTGTGCCCTGAAGCATGGATTGGGTGGTGCCAAGCCAAGCCAGGCCCCACGGCTGTCATCAGAGGCAATACTGGAGGAGATCGGCAGGCGTGGCCACCCTTGGCAAGTATTTAAGAAGGGCGCTCCCCAAGAATTCACAATGGATTAGGCTGGGTGGGGATTGAGGAAGAGGGTGATTTCTGATTTTTAATGAAAGGAAGTGTCAGTCACCCCAAAGACCAACAGGGCACGAGGACCAAGTTTGGGAAGGGAGGTCATGAGTTCAGACTCAGGCACTTGAACTTGAGCTGCCTTTGAAAGGTCCAGGAGAAGATGTCAAGAAGCCTGTTGGGCATACAGGACTGGAGCTCAGAGGAGAGAACAGAGCAATGGAGACCATGTGCCAGCAGAAGGAAATGAGAAAAGGGGTGTGGGTTGTAAGAGGTGTGTGTGCATGGGTGTTTCTTGTTGTTTTTTTAATTGTGGCTAAACACACATAACATAAAATTTACCATCTTAACCATCCATCAGTAAACACTTGGATAGCTTCTACCTTTTGGCTATTATGAATAATTCTGCTATGAATATGGGTGTATAAATCTCTCTTTGAGATGCTGTCTTCAGTGCTTCGGGGCAAATACCCAGAACTGGAACTGCAGGATCCTATGGTAATTCCATTTTTAGTTTTTTGAGGAACAGCCATGCTGTTTTCCACGGCAGCTGCACCATTTTACATTCCCACCAACAAGACACCAGGGTTCTGATTTCTCCACAACTTCACCGACACATGTTATTTTTGGTTATTTTTTTATAGTCGCCATTCTAATGGGTTTAAAAAGGTTGAGAGTTTTTAAATTACAGATGTGGAAAAGGTACAGAGGAAGAAAAGGACTTGAGCAACTTTATAATTGCAGGGGTATATTAGCATCGGCACTTAGATCA